GTGTCTTATATTATGTGTTATATGTTACAACCATGCCGTTCTCTCAATACAGCTTTCATTTTTTATAGTGCTAAAACAACAAATATTTATAGTCTATTCCTTGGTAAATAAGGGTTATTATCACAATTTTTTGTTCACACATCCTTTGTTTCTAAATAAACAAAATTTTTTAAAGTAGCACTCTATCGCGATATAGTCTCAATCACACTGTTGGATACATTGAGGATCCTAGACCGAGCCCTGTAACACCGCAACGGCAACAGCCGTTCTCCCTTGTGGCCGAGCGTGTTCCTCCTCCCACCTTTCCCCTCTCTATGTTTCTTTATTGTGAAACTGAATATAATCCACTCTTTTATAACAAGCCATCCGTTACACATCTTAAGTCAAGGCCAGCCTTATTCTGACAACAGGTCTTATAGAGTAAGGCAGGGCTAGCCGAGTGGTTAGTGCTCTTCGTTTTCAGGATCTCATTTCGGTGAGGTCAGGGTTTCGATTCCTCTCTGGGACATAATTCCTGCCTGCATTCCAGCGTTCTGACAACAAGTCTTATAGAGCAAGGCAGAGCTGGCCGAGTGGTTAGTGCTCTTCGTTTCCAGGATCTCATTTCGGTGAGGTCAGGGTTTCGATTCCTCTCTGGGACATAATTCCTGCCTGCGATTCCAGCGTCAGGCTTACCCCCAGGGTACAAGCCGGCTGAGAAATACCCAGTCGCATCTAAATTAGTTAATTTCTACAAAGTATGTCGAGTAAAAGCTAGGGCGTCCCCCGGAAGCGACGCGCACTCGAGCCCGATGGGTGCAAATAGTGGGCTAGGGCCGCCGTCTTACAAAGAGCGAAGACGGGTAAGAAAGCTAGCTCTTCGAGGGCAATTATCCGAAAACTCAGAAGCACTCCGATTAGCAACCATCAATGTCGGAACCCTCACTGGACGACATCAAGAATTGGCGGATCTCCTGAGGAGACGGCGAGTGGGTATAGCCTGCATACAGGAAACAAAATGGAAAGGTCGCAACAGCAGTCGCAATGGAGAGGTATAGCTGTCTCAGAAAGCCTAAGGAGCAGGATTGCCGCAGTTGACCGATTAAGTGACCGACTTATGAGCATTAAGATAGACACTGGTAGAAAAATCCTTCGAATTGTCGCCGCCTACGCTCCTCAAACCGGATGCAAGGAGGAAGAAAAGAATATGTTCTGGCAGGAGCGTGACGATTACATCGCATCCATACCACAGGATGAGATACTCCTGCTCGGAGCAGATCTAAACGGTCATGGCAAAGTTATCCCAGGTAAAGCTGCATACCTCAGCATAAGCCACTGCTTCTAGACCTAAAAATTCCGGTTGAACGACAAAAAAGACCCATGACTAACAACAAAGCAAGAATCAAGTGGTGGAAATTGAAAGGGAACTTTCTGGACTCTCTGGCCAAAGAAGCTCTGGTTAGTTTTCTACTGGCCTTATGTGGGAAACTAGAACAGTTATGGTCAACCTTGAGGCATAACGTGCATCGGGTAGCAAGGAGTGTACTGGTTACACGAAGCCAGGAAGAAGAAGAATCGGCAAAGAAATATGATGGTGGAACGATGAAGTTCAAACGGTGATTAGGAAAAGTCAGGCATACAAGCAATGGCATAAGTCGAAATCGG